CAACCTAGAACTAAGGAGAAACTTCCTGACAGTTAGAACAATTAACCAGTGGAACAACCTGCCTCCAGAAGCGGTGAATGCTCCAACACTGGAAGTCTTTAAGAAGAGACTGGACAGCCATTTGTCTGAAATGGTATAGGGTTTCCTGCCTGAGCAGGGGGTTGGACTAGATGACCTCCAAGGTCCCTTCCAACTTTATCATTATTATATTATTATAACCAGTGGAACAACCTGCCTCCAGAAGCGGTGAATGCTCCAACACTGGAAGTCTTTAAGAAGAGGCTGGACAGCCATTTGTCCGAAATGGTATAGGGTTACCTGCCTGAGCAGGGGGTTGGACTAGATGACCTCCAAGGTTCCTTCCAACTTTATCATTATTATATTATTATAACCAGTGGAACAACCTGCCTCCAGAAGCGGTGAATGCTCCAACACTGGAAGTTTTTAAGAAGAGACCGGACAGCCATTTGTCTGAAATGGTATAGGGTTTCCTGCCTGAGCAGGGGGTTGGACTAGATGACCTCCAAGGTCCCTTCCAACTTTATTATTATTATTATTATTATTATTATTATTATTATTATTATTATTATTATTATTATTATATTATATTATCTAAAGGAGAGCTATGCTCGGCCAGGCCGCTGTCAATCCCTTCCCCACCACCCCTCCAGCGGGAAAGGGACCACTATTCTCACTGAAACGTCGCCTCTCAGTGACCCGCGGGACAACTTTTGGCTCTCGCGCCCGCCGGTTCACGCCCCGCGCGGACCGATCGAGGCGATCCGCCACCGGCTCTGGCCTCCGCAACGCCGCGCGAAGACGCACCCGCGGCCGGGGCAGGGGGAGCCGTGGCCGAAGGACGAGGGAAGGAGGAGGAGGAGAAAAAGCAGGCCCGTCTCTCTCCCCGTGGCCTCGGGCGGGCTACACCCCCTCACCGTGTGGTCATGCTCGTCGGCCCGGCCCTGCGAAACCAACAAGGCCGCCACGCACCACAGGAACCCGGCCGGCGCCATCCCGTTGCCGTCGTCGTCGCCGCCGCCGTCACCGAGGAAAGGAGCCGCCGCTTCCGCCGTGCCCGCCACGTCATCCAAGAGCACGCCGGAACAGACGCCGCTTACGGCGACCGGCAGCGGCCAGAAGTCGCAGAACTCGAAGGCAGAGGCCGGTTTTGGGGGGGGGGCGCAACGTCGTCCGGGCCGCGCGCCTTTTGTGTGTTGTCGCCCGGACGGCTGCGTCTTTTGGAAGTCGAGGCGAGCCGTCAAGCTTTCTATTTCCTAAAGCAGTGTTTCTCAACCTTGACAATTTTAAGGCATGTGGACTTCAACTCCCAGAATTCCACAGCCAGCATTGCTGGCTGTGGAATTCTGGGAGTTGAAGTCCACCTGCCTTAAAATTGTCAAGGTTGAGAAACACTGTCCCTAAAGGGTGTCGTGTAAGCTCTTCCACCTTCCTTATGGCGGGCCCGGGCGCTCGTTTCTTTCCGTACTACGCAAGCCCTCGGTTCCTGGACGGCCTCCAGCAGCTGCAGGAGGGAGAAGAGCACAGCCTTTCGAAAGAGATGTCCCAGGGATGGGCTGTACAGCCCTGTCGTTTGCAGTTGTGTCAATGCAGGGGGGTCTTCAAACTTGGCCCTTTTGTGACATGTGGGCTTCAACTGGCTGAGGAATTCTGGGAGTTGAAGTCCACAAGTCATTAAAAGGGCCAAGTTTGAAGGCCCTTGTGTCAATAGATAGGCAATACTGGCATTTCGTTTTGTGTGTGACATCCACGAGCAGTAGTTAGAAAGCAAATCATGAACAAACTCGGAGAAACACGACTTAAAAAGAATGCCAGTAGTGTTTAAATATAAACGTATAACTTAAGTCCAGGGCTTTTCAACCTTTTCACCCATTGTACCACTTTTAGGATATGGCAACATCCGAGTACCATCAGTCGCCTAGCAAGGTGTCAAAAACTTAATGACCTCCCAAAAAGTAAAAAAGTGATAAAAGTACAGGTAGTCCTCGACTTACCACAGTTCGCTTAGTGACTGTTTGAAGTTACAGTGGCACTGAAAAAAGTGCCCCGAAGAAGCGCCTATCAGCTGGAAAGCGGCAGTGATCCTGGCGCTTCCACTTAGCCCTGACAGCCCTGCAGCTCCAGCCATCTCTCTCTCAGACTTCTGTGGTGCTGCCACCAGTTCAGCTCATTCCCCTCCCCCGCTACCACTTTTCTAGGATGGTCGCGTACCACCTGCCAGGTGCCAATGTACCACAGGTGGTACCCGTACCACTGGTTGAAAAGCCCTGACTAAGTAGCATGAATAAATATGGGGGCAGTACCAGACTGCTGAATCTGGATTATTCATGGACAAGCTCAAGTATCACCAACAGTTACAAAGCTCCTGTTGTCATGGTTCTGACAGATGAAAATCTTCGAGGCATTGTTTGCCTTAAGGAATCTTTATTTTGAGCAGCATAACATCGGCAGTGCATAATCGAAGCCAAAAACTGAATTCCCCTCCCCTGAGCGCATAGTATCAAAGTCCCTCCTCCAATTAACAGTCATAAATCACATTCCCCAATTAGCTTGAAGCACGGACTTCCTATCCAGTTCTCCAGCCCGGCCAATTCCTTATCAGCTCTGGTTACAATAACCTTGTTTCTCACGCTAGGTTTAGTGTTATCGTTCACATCCCCCCTCCCAGCACCATCTAACTCTAAAAGCAAAAGGTAAAAGATGGTTACATTCCCATTTGTTGGCAATGCAAAAACATCCGATGTCGGCAGTGTTGACACCTGTAACGGAATCAGAAAGTTAGAAAGGGGCTTAGAGATTATCTATTTGAACACACTGTTCTGTGAAAGATCCATTAGAGCAGTGTTCTCAGTCTTGGTAACTCAAAACAATTTTGGACCAACTCAGCATGCTGGCTGGAGAATTCTGGGACTTGAAGGATACATATCTTAAAGGTGCTGTGATTGAGAAACATTGTGTTAGAGCACCTCCAGCTTTCACTGTTTACTGGTCGTAAACTTTTTGTGGTAACTTTCCTTCGGGTTAAAAAACGTCGTCATCGATAAGGTGGTTAACTCCCTTAATAATGTTTCTTCTTGACTCCACTCTAAATTGTCAAATTTATTGACAGTCTAAATAAGAAATAATGGGGTCTCTAGTCTTCGTTATCAAATTTTACCATCTAAGAACACGTTTAGAATAAGTCAAAAGAGTCAATGAAAACCCCACCCCAACTGTCCATCTGGACAGTTCAAATGGGCCAATCCCCAGGTGTGAAAATATTGTGGGAACGGGGTGGTAAGGCGCCACTTCCAAGGCTGTTAGGTGTCCATGCCCAGAGATAAGGCAGATGGCCGGAGGCACATTCCATTCTCACCCCGAGACGGAAACATCAAAGAAGATAGAGCAAGGAACAAAGCAAAGGAAATACACTGTAGCAGCCCCATGCTCTTCCCTCCCCCCAGAAAAATGGCAGAACCCCAAAAGAACAAGAAACCCTATGCACATAGAAAGACAGGGTTCTGACAATAATACACATTAAATTCCTAATCTCTACCCTGTTTTTCCAGCCATTGATAAAATACATCCCATATTTGAAAATATTCTGTGTCTTTTTCTTTAATCTTCAATGTAAGTCTATGTATTTCTGCACAGTCCAGTATTTTCTTGATTATCTCTTCTTCAGGTGGTGTTTTTTTATTTTTCCGATACTGTGCAAATACAATTATTGCTGCTGTTAATCCATATAATATTAAATATACACTTTATCACATTTTTCTGATAACATACCTAATAAAAATAGTTCCGGTTCAAAATCTACATGTTTTCTTAACATCTTTTCTAGCCAGACATTTATTTTTGTCCAAATTTTTTTTGCTTTGGGGCATGTCCACCAAAGATGGTAATACATGCCTGGTTTTTGATTGCACTTCCAACAGTTACTAGACATGTTTTTAAACATTTTTCCTAATCTCGCAAGTGGTAAGTGCCATCTATAAAACATTTTTTTAAAAAATTTCTTCATAAGCAGTTGCCATTGTCAATTCATAGTTTCTTTCCCAAAGATTTTGCCATTTTTCTAATTCTATATTGTGCCCCCAAATTTTTCCCATGTTTTCATTGTTTCTTTCACTTGTTCATCTTTTATTTTTAAATTTAATAGAAAATTATACAGTTTCTTAATCAGCTTTTCTTCTGAAGTCAACAATATCTTATCAAACATTATCTGGTTTTTATAAAAACTATATATGTTAGCATCTTTCTCATACCTCAGTTGTATTTGCAATTGAGGCCACCATGATAAATCAATACCCTGATCTTCCAGCTCTTGTTTAGATTGTAATTTCCCTTCAGCATTCAAAATATCTTTATAGGTTACAATTTTCTCAAAATTAGTTAAGTCTGGGTGAACAAAAGCTTCCATTGTTGAAAGCCATCCTGGTATTTTCATATAAATTTTAGCTTTTATCTTTTCCCATACTAAAAATAATGCATTTCTTACATAGTGATTTTGGAAGTATCTATGAATTTTATTCTTCCCATACAATAGCGGTATAAACAAAAAAATTAAGAGTATTAAAACTCCCCAAACTTTTCTTTTTTCTGTCTTTCTCTGTTATATCCACAATAGTATTATAAACCTCTCTGTTTTCCCCCATAAAAGCTTAAACCGCCGCTTTTATTCTGGGGGAAGGGGTAAAAAAAACACCTCCCTTTTAGTTTTGGGGATTTTCTTGCTTTCAGATGCTTTTTTTTTTTTTCAAGAACAGGGTTTGCGGTCGTAGAAGAAGGAAAATAGTCTCACCCAGATCAGATATGTTGCTCACGCTTGTTAAAAGTTGCTTTTTTCGCTGGTGGTCAGCAGCTTCTGACTGGCTGCATAGATGCAGCAAGTTTTTCTCTTGCTGGTCACGAGGGCTTCCTTGGATCAAGTGGGTGGGCAACCGCCTCCCCGCAATCTACAAGGGTCCCCTCTTGGTCTGTCACATCTATGGGGCAAATTTCGGCCCTTTTCGGGGGCCCAGCAAGAAAAAATCAGGTGTGGGAAGCAGAGCCCTGCTTCCTTGTTGCTGCGACGTCACTTCCAGTCCAGGAATAAAGTTTTTACCAGCTCCATGCTAAACTTGGATGACTGAGATTAAAATGGAACAATTGCTGAACAAATGGTCAGATAAAAACCAATATTAAGATGGTCAGATTTCCTAGATAAAAGAAAAGTTAAAACATACTTCTTTACAAATTTGTACAGACCCCTGTAAATAACCTCTATTTAATACAAATATATTTTATTAATCTGCATCAGACATGTCAAACTCACGACGTCACCTGACGTTGCGCAACGTATCGGGATGGTTTTGCCATTGCCGGCAATGGGATGGGTGTGGCTTCTGGATGACGTGTCCGGCCCATGGGCTGGCAGTTTGACACCCCTGATCTACATTATTAGTTTGGCAGTTCTGGAAGAAAATATTTCATCAGCATTTCCTTTTATAGATCAACCAGGTTAGAGGTAAATTTTATAACTGACATAAAATCAGAAAGAGGAATTTTTAGGGTTCATAACTTAGCCACTAAAAGCAGTCTGGTGTAGTGATTAAAACAATAGGTCAGAAATTTGCAGACCATGAAGTTCAGTCCCATCTTAGACACAAAGTCAGCTGGGTGACATTGGGCCAGTCACACTCTCAACCCTAGGAAGGACACAATGGTAAAACCACTTCCTAAACATTGTCAAGAAAACTGCAGGGACTAGTCCAGGTAATAGCCAACAGTCAAAAACTGACTTAAAAACACACACACAAAATCCACCCTTAGTTGCTATTTGTAAAATTGCTGGCTATAGCAAACATCCTACAAAACGGAGTAAGGAAAAACCAATGGCTTCATTAATTTCAGGTAAAAGCAATTAGACTAAAGTATTAGAACAGGGCTTTTCAACCAGTGGTACGGGTACCACCTGTGGTACATTGGCACCTGGCAGGTGGTACGCGACCATCCTAGAAAAGTGGTAGCAGGGGAGGGGAATGAGCTGAACTGGTGGCAGCACCACAGAAGACTGTGAGAGAAATGGCTGGAGCTGCAGGGCTGTCAGGGCTCAGTGGAAGCGCCAGGATCACTGCCGCTTTCCAGCTGATAGGTGCTTCTTCGGGGCACTTTTTTCAGTGCCACTGTAACTTCAACAGTCACTAAGCGAACTGTGGCAAGTCGAGGACTACCTGTACTTTTATCACTTTTTTACTTTTTTGGGGGTCATTAAGTTTTTGACACCTTGCTAGGCGACTGATGGTACTCAGATGTTGCCATATCCTAAAAGTGGTACAATGGGTGAAAAGGTTGAAAAGCCCTGTATTAGAAAACGCTTTGCAGCCTCTGAGAAATATATAATTACTAATTTAAAAATGAAATGGATAGTTTCATAGTATACCAATAGATTTTAGACAGTCCACATAGAATGATGAAAATACTGTATAATGCATTGTTGTTTCCTCTGTTAAAAGAGCACCTTACTATAACTTAAAGTATTACTGTACTCATTAAAAATATAGAAGTCATATTAAAAGATGACATACTTATTTAAAACCTCCATATTTTCCCACTATCTTGAAATTTGTATTTTTAAACAAGGAGCTTTTGCAAATCATGTATGTGATTTGAACAGATGGTAAACTAATCATCCTGGAACTATTTATTTAGATTTCTCGCAAGGGCTCAAGGCAGTTATACATAGGAAAATTCTCTCATTTTGTTTTCGTAATCGTGATGCTCCTGGTTTTTTCAGAGAATATGAAAATGTTTCTTGTAAGACAGTCACTTTACCTTACCAGCAGGGTTCTGAAAATACAAAACAAAGGAAGTTTTTTCAAGTGTCTCCATTGACTTAATAAACTTTACAAAATTGCTTTTGCAGAGTGAATACACTAGTTGAAATTGAGTCTAAAATATTTTTTTTTAAAAATGGTTGCAAAATGCTTTGTATTGTTTTGTAACACACAGGTTATTCTCAAGGACATGTTAAAAAACTTTTTAGAAGCAGTTTTTATATACTGTAGGTAAAAATAAAAAATAACCTAGATATTTCAACTTCTTGACATACAAATTTGAGAAGCATGTCATTTGTCTGCAAGGCACAGAATTAAACCATAGTACGCTGGTAAATGCTGAAGAGCTCAGAACTCCTGAATAAGGCTTTTGAATGGAATTATGTAGCCGTGGCACAACCACATAACAAGCAGCAGTTCATTAAAATACCCATTGACAGATTTATGCACAGACAAAATTTGAAAAGAATCGGTGGGTAATGAATTTATATACATAATGAAATAACAAATGTGGCAATTAAGTACATTCATGTTCATTTCTTACAAGAACTACAGCTGATACATTGTCTAACAAGCAAAATGATGGCACGTGACCTTACAAAAATACAACAGAAAAATATAAATTAACAAAAGCATTAATTAAATCATCTCTCTTTTTAAAAAGTATTTGAAATAAACAATAGGTATTCATGCTTTGTGTCCTCCTGATCTTGCAGTATCCCCAGCTAGTTCTGGCTCTTAGAATCGAGGCTTCAACAACAGACCTACCCTTGTTATTTCTATGTTAGATTACTACAATGCAGTCTACAGGTAGCCCTTGACTTACAACCACAATGGGAACTAGAATTTCAATCCTTGAGCAAAGTGGCCATTAAGCAAGCTAGCCATATTACCACTTAATTCAATTATCATAATTCGGGCTCTCCCCAGTTACAGTTGCCAAGCGATTGTGCAGAGAGCATCAGGAGAGACGCTCTCTGTGGCCCAGCACATCCAAGAGGCACATCACTCCCCACCCCCACCAGGCCCAGGTCCATTACCTTTGCCTTTTTCTATAGCTGCAAGTGTGCCCAGCTGATGTGTGATTGGCCTTCCTACCAAGGCCATCTTGTGCCATCCGGCAGTGGGCAACACTCTTGCAACTGGAAGGCTCAATCACACAATTTGGAGAAGGGGCCTTCCAAATTATTCCAAGAACAATTGCATTCACTAGTTTTCCTAGCCTCGGAAGGGTAGAAAGCTAGTGAACATCGTTCTTCTGAAGGCTAGAAATCTGCCAAGTGAAGCTCAGCCCCTCCATTGAGCTGCAGAAACAAGACTCAAGTCTTCAGGAACCAAGCCCTGTTTCTGAAGCCCATGGGAAGGGCTGAGCGCCATTTAGCTGGCAGGTCTTTCAGCCAGCCCCCAGAGATGAGAGGGAGTCCTATCGGCAGGCAGCAGCAACTTACAACCTTCCCTGTTGGCTTCCATTGACTTTCTGTGGAAGCCTATGGAGAAGCTTGTGAATAGCAATCACATGAATTATGAGGTGCTTGGTGACCAATCATAAATGCAAAGAGGTTGCCAAGTGCCTCAAAAGGTAGTCATGCAGTTCGCCCTCTTCATGAAAAAAAAAATGTGAATGAACCTAGAAACAGAACTTTTTAATAGCTGCCTATTCCCTACTCACTGCTGGGAAAGATTGAGGGCAATAGAAGAAGGGGACGACAGAGAATGAGGTGGCTGGATGGAGTCACTGAAGCAGTAGGCGTGAGCTTAAATGGACTCCAGAAGATGGTAGAGGACAGGAAGGCCTGGAGGAACGTTGTCCATGGGGTCGCGATGGGTTGGACATGACTTCACAACTAACAACAACAACACCCCCTAAAATCTGTATGGCCTCAACACATTTCCCACAAAACAGCCTTTCTAGAAACCTTCTCCTTTGTCTTCAAATAGGTTGAGGAACTGCAAAGGCCAGTACCTGTTAGATGTCCCTGGAAATTGCTCTGTAACAGTATAATCAGGGCTTCAGTTAAGATAGCCAAGTCTGATATATGCATTATAGTAAAGAGTATATCTTTGACCTCTCTATTGAATTCTGTAACAAATGTACCAAATTGGAAATAACTCGATCACACCTTGCATGCTACATTAATGGACGTCCGAATGTATTTCCTTCTTTTTAAAGAAAGAAAATCAACATTCTGAAAACGGAGCTGTCTTTAGAATTTCAACCCTGTGCATTTGTGTTCAGACTAAGATTTTTAAAAAATCATGTACAATATACGGCATATCATACAGGGGTTCCTCGTTTAGCAACCACTTGTTCAGTGACCACTCAAACTTACAACAGTGCTAAACAAGGAGTATTTATGAACGATCCTCAAAGTTCCCAGCTGTCATCGCATCCTCATGTTCATGTGATTGTGATTTGTAACCTTCTTCCTACAAACAAGGTCAACTGAGAAGCCAGCAGGAGGTCACAAATGAGAAGTACACGATGTTCTTAACAACCCATGACAGCAATTGGAAGTGCCAGAATTCCCATTGCTTAGCAACATTGTCCAGTGATGTCACTTTTATTACAATTATATCACTTAGAAATGAAATTCTGGTTCCAATTACCATCCCAAGGATTACCTGAATATATCTTGAAACTCGATGCAAATAGGGCCTGCCAGCTGTTCCGCCTTGTTAGGTTGGAGATGCAGTCCTCTCTACCTCATGCTGTGTTATTACACTTTCTCACATACTAACAGGGCTAGCTGCCTTTTTTGGATAAAGTCTGTCTACAATAGGAACAAACGTTTCTTCTAGTAATGATGTGATTGGTGCGCAATTTTTATTGAAGTACAGAAATAAGAACCGAGTTTCTTTACATTCATGGTCTGCTAAGTACTTCTTGGCATATTCCCACAGAAATAATACAGATTCAAGACTCATATAGATGACAATGGAGACTGTTTGATTTAAGATATGATATCCTCAATTTCTCAGTATTGTATTACTGGAACAGCAACCAGAGGCATCAGACAATTCTGAATAGGAAATTATCATAAAATCATTAGAAATTAGACAAGTTTCAAATGAATTGCACTGCTCAATACAAGGCACTCTAGTTTCGCTATCTGCAACAGAATAAATTTGTTTTCAGGGCAGCATCATAGCTACTTTATTTGCAGATAAACAGACAACAAATATTTGCTGGTAGCTACTCCCTTCTAAAGTTTAGGAATATGTGAGAAATGATTGAGACACCTTTAGTTTGGTGTAATTAGAATCTAAGAATTCTAATAAGTTCAACATATCATTTCTTCATAATCTAACAGTTTATTTGTTCTAAATGCTTAATTTGTTCATTTACCCTTGGCAATTTTTAGAGTAAATTCTACCAGAATTGATCATCTGAGATTGACAGGAGTGAACTGATATGCTGATTAGAGTTACAGCATAACCATTCAAAAGTCATTCTGAAGAATAAAAGTTCTGTTTCCTCATGTTTTAGTTTTAATATCCCAAAGATTTAGTCTAACTTATCACGACCTCTTGGAGGAACAGGTGGTGGATGGAAGTGGTCAGTGTTCAACAATCTGCAAATAAATATTTAAAAATAGAAAAAGGATAGTTTATTATGTTACATAACATATTACAGTTACACATTTATTTTAAAAAGCAAATACTTTGAAGTGTAGGGTTTTTTTAAGTTGATATACAATAACATTTACAATAGAAAAGCATTATATTATTGTTCTTTCATGTGGAATTATTCATTGACATCCCATTATAATATCAGCAATTTCTAAGTCTATTAAATCAATCAAGTAATATATAGGTAGTGCTCAACTTGCAATTCATTTAGTGACCATTTGAAGTTACAATGGCGCTGAAAAAAGTGACTTAATGATGTTTTTCACACTTATAACTGTTGCACCTTCCCATAGTTACAGTAGCGGCCAAAATTGTGTAAACCTTTTGGGAAAAGTGTATTTTTGAGGTTTGATGGCTAATAACACCACTTTTTGGGAATAGTACCATAAAATTATATATCAATGGAAAGATAATTTAATCAAGAATGTAATGCAACAACGTTTGTTCAATTATCTGTACTGTATTTTATGAAAAGTTATAGCCAAATAGCCAGAAAAAGGAAGCACAACTTGCTTAGGTTGATACCAGGTAGCTTTCCTTCATCTGATTGTAGCCAATGAGCCATTAGGTGAATCATCCACCATCACTCAAAATGATGACGATGATGCCCAGCTACATCTTTCAACTCCAGCCAAGTGAGCTTGTCTAGGTTTTGTCCTAGTGCTGGAGGCTGTGTAGGTTTGGATGGGGAGAAACTGTCTCTGATTCAATCCTACCAAGACCAATTGGCAGTGGATATCTAGATCTGGGGATGGAAATCTTTGACCTTGATGGGGTGCCATTTCCCCCTTCAAGGTTGGTATACAATCTGGGGGTCTTCCTGGACTCACTGCTCTCGATTGAAGGGCATATGTTGGTTGTGCACAGGAAAGCCTTTGCACCACTCCGTCTGGTAGCCTGTTGCACCCTATCCTGGTCCGCCCTCCTTTCAGATAGTCACTCATGCTCTAGTTACCTCATGGCTTGACTATTGCAATGTGCTATACATGGAGCTGCCCTTCAAGGTCATCCAGAAGCTTCAATTGATCCAAAATGCAGCAGCACAAACAGTAATGAGCATGCCTCGGTGTACCCATGTAACACTTCTGCTTTGCAAGCTGCACTGCTTCCTGGCTTGTTCTGAGTGCAATTCAAGGGGTTGGTTGCTATGTATAAAGACGTATATGACCATGGTTACTTGAGGTACTACCTGCCTCTCATAGCATCTACCACCTGGTAAATTCAGTCCTGCAGACTTGGCACACTCTAGGTTCCTTTGATTAAATAATGTCACCTATCACAACCCCGGAAGCATCCTTCTCTATAGCAGTATCTGCCTTCTGGAATCAGGTGTCGCCCAAATGTTGTTTATAAGAGCCATGAAGACCTCTCTGTTTACCCAAGTCTATAAATTAGGTTTAGGGACACATAGTTAAGTTCTGGTTTCCCTGAACCCCTGTGCTACCATGTTTCCCGCCTGTTTTACTTTCTTTATACCCCTTTATATTATTTTAGAATTAATCCACGAGGAACAGGGATCTGTCAAATTCATTCTTTGTACAGTATAAATGTATCATAAAACAATATATAACCTGCTAGCAACCCGAGGAGGTATTTTCGGAGGCCTTCCAAATGAAATGGAAAGTTGGTTGTCTACTTGCAGGGGTCTAGAGCAGAAATTTCTCTTCA